AAGGACCTTCTCACACTACAGACCTCAACATGTAACCTCCGATCAACTGCAACATATCTGCTGAAACCACCAAGCAGGAAGCTTTGTACGATGGGAGATCAGGCTTTTCTTTTCAGCCTCTCCCAGGCTGTGGAGCGCTCTTCCTGGCCACCTGAGGTCCCCACAGTCTGCGGATGTTTGTAAACGTGGCCTTAAAACCCACCTTTTTAGGAGAGCTTTAATTGAACTCCTCCCCTATTTTTTTCACTGTCTCATGATTTTATCTTTTACTTTTTATTTCTCATGCTCTACATGTATTTTTATTTAGCACTTACCTGTTATACTATGTAGCATTTTGGGATTTGTTTAAATATAAAGTGCATTAGAAGTCCAAAGTATTATTATTATGATTATAATTAGACTGACTGTAGATTGACTGAAGACTGACTCTAGTCTGACTGTATGGTTTCCAGGTCAGGGGCTGGAGGCTCAGTGGGAATGCACGGTTACTGCTGATCTACAGCAGTGGGAACTGTTTTCTTCTCTGAACCTTTTCCTGCTGTACATAGAGCAGTCCTGCTTGTTATTTGATTGATAAAGTATTTCTGGTTGGAATTGAAGGGCCCAGCCATCATGATGTCCTACCTGCTAATCTCGGGTCTGTTCCTGACCCGCCTCCGGAGGCCCATTGGAAAGATGACTGTGACGGAGCAGCGCTATGAGGGAGAATACCGCTATGTGAACTCCCGTCTCATCACCAACAGGTGAGCGTCTCAGTGGCGATGGCCCGCCTTCCTCCTGTGGGTCTAAATCCTCCCTATGCTGCTAACCGATATTCTGACTGTTTGGAGGTCTGTTGATTGACATTTTTATCTGTCCCTGTTAGCGAGGAGATTGCCTTCTACAACGGAAACCTGAGGGAAAAGCAGACCATTCATGCCACATTCAAAAAACTGGTAAGTACAACTACTACTACAAGTCCAACAAGCAGCACATATCGAATAGGAAAATTAAAATACAAGACAGACATCAAAATAAACATTTACAGAAGTAATACTGAAAACAGTCTTGATTTGGGGTTGAATCTGTCCCTGTTCTGACTTTCTCCAGAACATTTTAATCCAGATTTTTAGTTTGAAGGGGAAGGTGGTTACTGTTATCCACAAATCACCCCATCCAGACAGTCACTATGTCCCACTCAAGTCCCTGCGTCTTTGAAAGGAACTAGTCTACCTGGACTGCGTCCTCAAAAGAAACCGGTCTACTTGGACTGCATCCTTCAGGGGAATCGCTCTATCTAGACTACGTCCTTCAAAGGAACCGGTCTACCGGGACTGCATCCTCCAAAGGAACCGGTCTACCGGGACTGCGTCCTTCAAAGGAAACGGTCTACCGGGACTGCGTCCTTCAAAGGAACGGGTCTACCGGGACTGCGTCCTTCAAAGGAACCGGTCTACCGGGACTGCGTCCTTCAAAGGAACCGGTCTACCTAGACTACGTCCTTCAAAGGAACCGATCAACCTGGACTGCATCCTCCAAAGGAACCGGTCTACCGGGACTGCGTCCTTCAAAGGAAACGGTCTACCGGGACTGCGTCCTTCAAAGGAACCGGTCTACCGGGACTGCGTCCTTCAAAGGAACCGGTCTACCGGGACTGCGTCCTTCAAAGGAA